ACCCGACCATAGGCGGTTTAGTGATGACCAATTTTACTGCCAACTACAAATCAATTAATTAATTGAGTGAACGATTTGTTTATTTGAGTCATACTACTAGCGGTTTTCATTACATAATTTATAAAAGCATCTTTGACTTACAAATAAATGGACGACGGGTCTAATACAAAAACAACGAAAAAAATGTCCCAAGTCAACCTATTTAAACGTAGTGACATGTCAAGGAATATGAAAACGCTAAAACGTTGAATTTAAATTGTAATGTCATCGCAGTACTGTCTAATTTTGCTTGCTTCGCTGTCAGTCGAACAAACGAAGACTAAAGCGTGAATGACGCTCTGTATACGATTTTAACGCCCTATAAGTTCGGACACTTTTTAGCGCGGACCCGACGTCCGTATAATTGTAAGTCAATGAAAAGCGTGTTAAAAATTTTCAAAACCTTAACTTTCAATCCTTCTTAAAATCTTAGATACTCGTTCGATTGCGTTGAAATTTTCGATTTACAAATCGATTACAAAAACTTTAATTGAACGAACTGAATGTTTTTTCCGTACATCACTATGCAACCGTATACTATTCATACGTCTATAATTAAAATATAACCTCACTTTTTGACTACCATTTCTCAAATACGATTCTACGACGTTATGGAAATGAATATTGGAAAAAGTGATCAAATATCAAGTGGAAATCTTCGAAATATACGCGAAAGTGTTACTTATTTGATTTATTGAGTGATTGTTTTAGAACCGTTCAACCAAACCGTTTTGTTTACATTTAAAATGGTTTGTAACAGACTACAGCTACGTGTAGTGCTTGCCTCGTGTGCGTCGAGAAACTGACCAGCAAGCGCACGGTAAGGGCGCGTTCTCATTGTGTCGTAACGTTTTATTTACCGTTGGACGACTGTCGTTCTAGCTCCTCCCATTGTCTCGACAGACTCACGTTGTAACGACGAAACAGTCGTGAACCACAGTTAATCGTAATAATAAGTAATGATAATAAGAATTTAATTACCGTAACTTACAATTAACAATTACATATCTGAGCTATAATAATAATAATTTATTTACTTCAGACAACATTTAAGGTCCATTTTAATGTTAGTAGAGCTTATCCTAGATTAATACTTAATAACTAACAATGAAATTGGCCTCTGTGCGAGTATATACGTCATCGGGCAATCAGGTCTATCAGCTATCGCTTTCAGGATGCCGTTGCAGCTCCCGCACATTCTGTTCAACCGCGAGGCAGTTTTCTTTCGCCAGACTGCATCAAAGCCGTCCGCGCATCTGCGAACATGCCCGAAACGCTGCAAAAGCTATGATCCCCACTCTAGGCTACGCCGGTCTCGTGGGAAGCAAAGCAGGGGTCGATTCAGAACCTTACGATAACTCAGTTGTCGACCGATTCGACTAAATATCGTAAAATTTATTTTCATTTTTATTCACAGCACCCGAATCCAATGTCAAACTGTCGTATTCGAAACTGAACCCAAAATGACGTCACGCCCGTGCGGTTACTCGACTTTCTCGACCGGCGAAGGCTATATAACACAGTTATCGAATGAAAGTAACCGAACGTCCTATTGTTTACAAAGCAAGAATGTAATATGGAAGTCCGTTATTTTGGTCAATTTTATTAATTCATTTCAATGCAAGATTAATGCGTTCCTAAATGCCTTTAAAGTCTTAAAATGTATATAATCTATTTCATCTACTAACTCTGTAATATTTAACTCTGAATGTTCTGAATAACTCGAAAAGCGCCCTTTGATTCGAGAACGATATCCAATCTAACTATTCGGTTAAAATATCGAAGAGCTCTGAATCGGGGTCCACGTACGATTAACCGAATAATAATGCGGCTTAGTAGCAATAAGAACTTAGTTACAAGGGAGTAAAATACAAATAAAACTAACAAAAAGAAATGCTTACTCGAAAAACAATAAACAATCACCTAAGACATTATAACTAATTTTAAGTTGCTTACATAATCGACCAATTGTGTTGTACTATATGTGTACAGCTTCATTCAAATATTCATTAGACGACACTTTAAACTGCACGACTATCTGTCGCCACGACATAAAGGGAACGCGCTTGTGTGTAAAGGTAGACGATTAGCGATTGCGTCGCTACTGCATCGCATTTGCATCGCGTTTGCATCGCTGCTAAAAGCCGCTGTGTCTAACCACTCTACGCGTGTTTGATGTTCGCTGTATTTGTCGAATAGACCAACAGGGCAAACACTTTGTCACACATGCTATCTACACATGGTGATTGTTTGCCAAATATATTAAATACGCAATTACAAATAGCCATATTGCCAAAATAACTAAACAATAGTATTAAATCCATTAATGTTTATCAAAATAGAATACCTTCTAAAGTGTATTTATTATCAGCTATTATTAGTTACAATAATATTATCAACCTCGATCCGTAATCGTTATCACAATATTAACATTTTTAAGGTTTTAACGTTTGTTTAATCCATGTATTGGACGTGTTTAAGGAAATTAAATATTTGATTAAATAATAATTATAGAAATGGATAAATCTGGTAAAGTAATAAAGCAAATGGTGATCATAGATGGTAAGTAATTTTTTAAGTATAACCTGTTTGTGTGGAATTGTTTTTTTCTTGTCAAATAGAACCAGCAAAATTGTATACAACAAATGTTTCTGATTTCTGAAGCTTGTAAAAGTACCTTCGCGCATGAAAGTATTTCCGCAATGTCACCACAAGGAGGTGTTTAGTTCACCGAGGTAAACTTACGTCAAAGATTTCTAAAATTGTAGAAAGGATTCATTAATTGACATAAAGAAACTGCTCAAAAATGTAATTCTACAAAAAGAATAAACGACACTGCGTTCGACGAAATATGCATACGTAGTTATACTAAACATAATAGGATGATCGCTGTGACCATCGAGTATATAACCAGAAATAGAATAGAAGAAATAAGGGTCATCCATCCATGGCAACTCATCAGGCGTATGGGCCTTATATAACTTTTAAATGTCAACTCTCGTTTGCGCTGAAATCACAAATTAGAAAGCTGAAATAGTACAGCGCCAACCACTGACCTGTGTACGTCTCCGTATATTCCAAAAATAATCTGTATTTATTGTTAAAGATAATATCTCTAACAATGGGAGGTGTTACATTTGGTGGTGTGGGAAAAACAACACATTTCATAGGTAATTAAATATTAAATATGTATTTTTTTCAATTTTTGTCCACTATAGCCATTGACATTGACTTACAATTATATAGACGTCGGGTCCGCGCTAAAAAGTGTCCGCACTTGTAAGGCGCTAAAATCGTATACAGAGCGCGACACTCCGCTTTAGTCTTCATTTGTTCTACGGACAGCGCGATACTGCGATGACATAACAATTTAAATTTCGAATAGGTTGACTTGGGACATTTTTTTCGTGGTTTTTGTATTAGACCCGTCGTCCATTTATTTGTAAGTCAATGACTATAGCAAAGCAAATTAGTTTTGAAGTGAAACAATTGACGATACCCGTCAATAGTTTCGAATTTTGGCTGGGTAATGATTTGGCAGAATATTTTCAAACAAATTAAATGACATTTCGTCTCTATTTCTAGTTATATACTCGACGCCTGTCACACTTCATTTGACGTTTGTCATAGGGATGAGGTAAAGTCGATATATTTTAGTGAATTGATTTCTGAAGCAAAGGCTTATAATATTTAATGCATAGATGTGTGAAATGTTTTATATTATATTAAAAGCATAAAATATACATTGAAAATACAAATGCCATTTCCATTTATAAAAAATGTAGTAAATTAAAAAAAATATTTGTCATATCGAGTTCTTAGGGTTTCGCGATTGTTACACATAGGAAATGAAACTATTTTTCCGGATTTAAATCGCGTATATTTGTTTGTTTTATTGTATAATAGTCAACTGTGACAATGGGGCCTGTAAAGGGCTTGAAACGTTAGTTTGTTTGAAAAAACAAATATACTCGATTAAAAGCCGCAATAATAGTTTCTTTTGCAACATTTATCATATCATTAATTTATAGATTTCAAAAAAGTTACAACACTGACATGCAAATTCATTGCTCTATGATTAAAATTCATACTAACAATGAATGACATTTTTTATCGATATACCTCATCTCTGGCAAATGCAATGTAATGAAGTAACATTTGCACATTATCGTAGTAAATTATTGAATTAAAAAAAAGAAAATATTTTTCCGAGCATTTTTCACAAATAAACATGGATGGTGTTATTAACCGACTTCAAAAAAGGAGGAGGTTCTCAATTCGACTGTATGTTCTTTTTTTTTGTATGTATGTTTCGCGATAACTCCGGTATTTGTGAACCGATTTTCATGATTCTTTTTTTGTTGGAAAGGGGGTACTTCCATAGTGGTCCCATTTCATTTTGAAGAAAATCATCCACTTCAAAGGGTGGCTGTTCACGCATGAAGATTCGTTTTTATAAATAGCGTCTAACTTTAATTTAGGAGCAATTACTTTTAGCAATCATTTAGTTGATTTTGCTATTTCTCCAATTCAAGGCGTTTTTCTCTCAATATACTTTGAGTAGTGTCGTAGTGAGAACCTATTTTTATTATCTCCAGTATCAAGTCCTGTATAGTGGCGAACTAGGGGATATTTCAATGAAACTTAGCAAATAGACGTAATTCCACGTACCTTTGAGGTCGGTTTTTTTAGTACAGTCAAGAGCACATCAAGCTTGACATTTTGTACTTTGGACCGTTCGTATCGTAAGCGGCATAGAGTTGGATTTAAGTCTTGAGTGTCAAGCTTGACGTGCTCTTGACCGTACTCTGTACTGAGATTATTTTTACTTTCCCGTTCACGCGTTAACACCTCGTGTAACTGGGCGCTTACACTTTAATACCAGGCCCACGACTTGTGCGTCCTGTAACTTGGTATTTATCATAAAATCTTATATTCGAATACTTTCTTTTTCATTACAGAACTAGATAAACCGGCAGCCCCTACTACGGCTACACGTCAGTCTCCACAGAACTCTCCACCAGTGGTAACTTCAACATTCGGATTTACATTATGCTAAAGTTTCCGTTATAAATCCACGTCATTTCCTGCTAGAGGGGTCATCATTCCCCCTTATCATATAATAAAACCTTATGTAATCATTGGTCGATAGTGCTTTTATTACATGAAAGTATTAAAAATAATATGAAATACTTGTAATATTTTATAACTCCTATTTAAGTTTAACCGCTCACGCGATGCGCTCATCCTACCCCAAAATGGCGGCTATTTGGTTTCGCAAATTAGTGAAGGATTCAGTTTAAATACAAGTTTTTATAAATAAAAATTATTATTCTGCATTGCTAAATAAATACCCTCCGTACTACAATAAAAACATCTCAAATAAAATGCAGCAATGCACCGCAAATCCTGCACTTAAAAAGCACTAATGAAATTTTTGGTGTACTTGGGTAAATATAATAATATTCCGTTTGAGTGGTTCTAACGTTTATCATGGAATTACCTTTTAAAGTATAGTTTATAAACATTGATATTCAGGGTAAACTTAAAAAACGCTACTTACGGTATATTTTCAATAAATAAACACCGAAATCACCAGCCCAAACAATAACACACACGAATATCGTGACGTATTTTTTAAGTTGTTTATTTTTTTAAAATGACATACCCAGGCATTAAAAACTTTATGGTTTGCTAGAGTAGTTACCGAAATAGCAATTAGTATTAGTTCTTTTACCTGTTATAACTTCGATATCCGATAAATCGGTATAAAATGATCACCGGCACCTCTAGGTGTGGTATGCGTCTACGGCTGCATGTATCGCGTGAGCGGATAAAAGTAGATAAAATTAATTTCGTTCATGATATATTCAAACCTCTGTCCTGTAATTTTGCAAATGTGCACTTATTGGACCACGGGTGCGTTATAGTTATGCGAACAACTTGCGTAAGGACTTTTTCTCATAAAAAATTATGAGTCGATTGCACCTCAGGTTACCACGGTGCATTTTGCTCAGGTCGATCGTCAGGGGCATTGGCTTTATTACAGAATTAATTAGTAATTTGAGAAATGTATATCGTATAGTACGCGTGTTGTATTTACTTCAGTTGATATAATAAGTCATTGGTATATATAAATCACCTATTGAATAGAGGGGTATTCTTGTAAAATTTCGATGTGAGTTTGTTTTTTTCTCCATCTAAAATTTTGAGGAATCGTGTTGTCACACCGTATACTTATAATAATATAATTTTACCATGTATTTTTTCCAAATTGATCGATTCAACATTTTCACTATTATGCAGAATCAACCAAAGCTATTTGAGGCAGTATAGGCTCTTAATATAAGAAACCAAAATATTGACTGCGTCATTCATGCATACATTAGTTTTGGCCGCAGCATTTTGCTAGCAATACTCCAACATCGGATCATTCTCATGATAACCACTTCAAAGTACGTTAAGAGATAAATACATATATTTTTTTCTAAATTCTAGACTATGTCCAAGAATGAAGATGTTACTATGAGAGCTAAAGTATACAAGCTGCCTGCATATGAGACATCGTCAGACACTTCCCAGGTGAGATACCAACACGAGCACTAAAAAACCGACCTCAATAGATCGTGGAATTACATCTATATTGCCAAGTTGTATTGAAATCGGTTACTAGAAAATACGCGAAACCGAATTCATCCCCTAGTTTACTACCCTTAGAGGATATTTTCTTAATTTTACAAAACAAAAAGAATCATCAAAATTGGTTCACAAATGGACCGGAGCCATCGCGCAACATACATACAAAAAAGACAATACGGTAGAATTGAGAACCTCTTCCTTTTTTTAAGTCGGTCAACAATTAAATTTAATTATTATAATGTGATTTTTGTTTCTAAATTATTCTTATCTTAAAAAAAGAAGGTGATTCTCAAGTCGACGGTATTTATCGAGATCTTAGGTTTTCGCGATTGTTACACATAGGAAATGAAACTATTTTTCCGGATTTAAATCGCGTATATTTGTTTTTTCAAACAAACTGACGTTTCGGGTCCTTTACAGGTCCCATGGTCACGGTTGACTGCTGTCGGTTTGTTTGAAAAAATAAACAAATATACGCGATTATAATCCGAAAAAATAGTTTCATTTCAACGGTATTTGTTTTGTGGACCGATTTTGATGATTCTTTTTTTGTTGGGAAGAGGGTACCTCAGTATTAGTCCCATTGAAATTGGAAGAAAATATTCCACCAATAACGGTGGCAAACTAGGGGATGAATTAGGTTTCGCGCGCTTTCCATTAATCGAATTCCATGAAAATTGGACATAAATGTAATTCTATTAAAGAAGCCAATATGCAAACTTTTGAGGTAGTTTAATAAAAAATAAATAATCTTCAATAGGTATCCTTAGAATAATAACGCATAGAATGATAGTTTCGTATCAAACAAACTGTCACAAGTGAGGCAAAAATCAAATTCATGTAGGCTAGTTGTAGGTTAATTTTCGGTTTTAGTGAATATTTATATAAAAATACAAGTTGAAACGCGTTACTTCCTTGTGGAATGTGATGTTAGTATCTATTTTATGTTTGTCTGACGTATTTTTACACTCATTTACAGCACATTTCGTCATTTTTAGCAAAAATTCTTGATCTGTTCGCAGTGCAAGTTGACCTTGAGCACTGAAGGCCCGCCCGCTCGTGTAGGCCCATTGGGCGCGCTTCAATTTGCCTCGCTTAGCGTGTGCGGACTAGGTTTCTATGCGTTATTATTCTAAGTAGGTATCATGTTCTATACGGCTCTAAAATGCCTTTATGGTCAGGACGCGAGAACTAGATGGCAAGAAATCTCTGACATTCTCGCTTCTCGGATGTTCTCGAAGTTTCTCGCTGAGAGTCCGAATGGTTACACAGTGTTACTTACAAATTATTTCAAATATTCTGAGATATTCAATATCTTTATAAATGAAGTATGAAATTACAATACAAACAAGTTGATATTACGCAGTCCTCAATTTACTAATAAAAACAAAATATCATAAAAAATAAATAAAAATAATCCGTTTAGTTAGAATAACATAAGCATAATAATTGAAGATGTAACAAGAGACAGTGCCAGTACAAACATGTTTTGTATATATTAAATGTTATAGAATGACAATTAGGTTATATTATGTTCTACTCGTGTTTATTTTCTGATTGATGAGTTTACAATGAGATTATATTTTCTTTTGCAGGACAACTCGCAAAAGGAAAGTGATGTGGATAAATCTAAGACCAAGTCATCAAAATCTTAGTTTTTAAGTTTAAATTGTATGGGGTACATACCTGTATTTTAGGCATCTTACAGCTTAAAAATAGATTTTCTATATTTAACAATAAAATAATTAGTTGTTATAAATTAATTGTTACATATAAAAATACATATGAAACAACTTCCACCAAGACCTCTGTTTCATTGTAAGTTTTACTCTTAAGCCAGAATTTGACGTTCTTTTTACTTTCTATTTTATTCATGGCGAAATAATGCGTAGTTTAATTCAATTTAAAGTAAAGGATTGCACCTAGAAAGCAAAAGAATCTATGCGACTTTTCTGGGTTTTGATATTTTAGCACTGCGACTGATAGAGCAGTTATACACGGCGATGCACGTATTAATGACTCAACATAATCCTATAAATCACAAGTATCTTCAAATAAATACTATGTCCCTCTCCTAAGTCCCATCTATATCTGTACCTACCAAAATTCATAAAATTTGGCTACTTTCGCTGGTATAACATTTCTTTGGATTATTTTTTCTTATTTGCACATGACTTAAGCCGGATTTACGTTTGCCTGACGTGTCGTGTCGTGATGCGTCAGAACAGTATCGGTCTCATACATTTAGTTTGTACTTCCTAACATCTTATATTCTGCTGAAACATGGACCGCATATCGTCGCTTTATCCGCACTTTACACTGATTTCACCTGAAATGCCTTCGTAAAATGTTAAACATCAGCCGGTCCGACCGCGTGCGGAACACTGAAGTTTTGCGAAGAGCTAAAGTAGGTGGAATCGAGGTACTTATATCCTATGCGGCGACAACTTCGTTGGGGCGGCCGTATATTAAGGATGGCAGAGGGGCAAATGGCAAAAGCGCATCTTTTATACGGAACTCAAGGGAGGCAAGCGAAATTATAGTTATAAAGATGTACTTAAGAGCCATATGAAAAATTGCGACATTGACCTAACAGAATGGGAGAAACAGACAGCCGATCGCCTGCGATGGAGATGTTTTGTGGCAAACAAAATGTCACAATTTGAGACCCGTCGACGAATTGAGTTGGACGTCAGACGTGACGAGCTGAAAGCCGACCACCTGCGGCGATCAGCTACCACTACATTGACAGTGTGCTCACGTGCCCCCTGTGTGCACAGATCTTTACTAATAAGATTGGGTACACACGTGAGCCACGTGAGAGCGCACGAGTGCCGCCAACAACGGAGCTGAAGCAGTTGCTGTGGCCGAAAAGGGTCAGGAGAATTCATCATCATCATCATGGTTAGATGTATATTAGTGTATCGATATCTGACGTGAGGGCTTGTGTTGTGTGTATAAAACCGATACCGTTCTGACACGTCACCACACGACACGTCAGGCAAATGTAAATCCGGCTATAAGGGCCATTTTGGACACCGCAAGGAAAAAAGGGCGCTGGCAGTTAGATGTAACATGTTAGTCCAGCGATATGCACGTAAGTAGTAAGCAAGTAAAAGGTTTTAAGATATTGTTTAAAGCATGTTGCCAAGTCTTCTACACGTGTATCCTAGCCTTGTGCAGAAAGCTATCGTTTTCCGAGTCCAGTACAATAATGGCGTCAGGATGGTGACGGGGCTGCGAATATCGTAGTTATAATTAGAACTCGTATTTTACATAAATTGGTAAACAAAATATTGACACAATAGTACATTATTGTAGAGGCCGGGAAGCAAGGGATTTCTGGACGAGTACACATTGTACCAATACGAATCAAGCAATCCCCGTTCCCGCCGAGACTTATATAGTGATTTTCTCAAACATTGTGAGGAAGTAATAGAATACTAAAGAAAATGTATAATGTAAAAGAAATGTTAATTAAAATTAAAAGTAATATTTGACATAGTGTTTGCAGGCATTTTTGTTATCTCTTGTCACTAGAACTTATTTTCGCGACGAATACAGAAAAAAAGTTATAAAAACAGGAAAGAATACCAAAGCACTTTAGTTTATCTTACCTCTTTTTTTTTAATGTGATTAACTTACAAAGCAATTACGAACACTTGGCAGTTGGTTATATGAGTTTTTCTTTTGCCTGTTTACATATGAAAGAAGTGGACAGTAATGGATTTTCATACGTACTTTGCAGGCCTTGGCCGGGAGGAAGTCGCAAGGTCCACAAATAACAAACTTTCCGTGTTCGTTTTTTGATAGTAATGCAAAAATTTATAAGCATGTTTGAGAAAATATTTTACAAAAATAACCATAGGTCACGTTAACCGGGTACAACCCGAGAAGTGGGCGAACGTTATCACTTCTAGGATGCTCGAGGACGGGAGATGACGGGCCGAGGAGGCGTAGGGAAATCACCAAAGACACACGGGCCTGCAGCACCTCTGATGATGATTTCTATGCTTAAAAAGACTGCCTCGATGGTCTATAGACTGCGGGCCAGTGCCAACTCCATCTTGATAAAAGTAGTGCCAAGGTATGACTCCCATATCACTTTCCCCAGATGCCGATCAGAAAAAAGCAACTTCTCCTGTTCTTCAGGGACTAATTTATTTAAATGTATACTAACCTAGACATACGACTTATCTTGTGACTAACGAATTTGGACCACTGTAGTCTACTCTCTGAATATATAAGTAATTAACATGACATTTCTTGGCTTCATCAATGTCGACGTTTTGACCTTCAAACCTTTAGACCCTGAAACCGAGATTAGGGTCCAGAAAACGTTTAATTTTCGAGATACCAAGTAACGGGAGGGACAAGTCGTGCGCCTGGTGGTAAGCGACACGCCTGCCCATAACAGTTGCAGAGCCACTCAGAGCTTTAAATCACAAAGATCTGAAGGGCACTGTCACTGCACCTAACACACCGTGAAACATACATACATAATATTAACCTTAGAACTAAGTCCAAACTAATGGTACCACGTGTTCGTTTAACTATGTACTGTATACGTTTTTACAATAAGATTCCGGAGCATATATTAGAATTATTACCATTTCCTAAGTTTAAAACTTACATTAAAAGTATTTTAATTGAAAACTCATATTACAAAATTGTAGACTACGTGTTAGATAAATATGTATGGAAAGACAACGTGAATCTAGATTCCACACAAATATGATTCAAAATGTATTCTATAGCATTTAAGTTTATTAGAAAAGAGCAATCCCTAGAGTTTCTTGCTCGTTCTTCTCTGGGAGGTCAGCGTAGTGAACGAGCAGTAGCTTAAAAATGATATTTCAAGAGTAAAAATTTTGCCTATGGAATAAATGCTTATTTCACTTTGACTTTGACATAAGATGACAAATCCCATGTGCCTGTAGTTTCACCAGTACTTTTACCCTTCGACACCGGAACGCAGTAATGTATTACTGCTCGGCGGCAGAAATAGGTAAAATGGCCGTATTTTCCTGGACGAAATCTTTCACAAGGAGCTCTACTGCTACTAAAAATTCCCAGCACTGAGTGCCAGGGCAACGGAACTCACTCCAGAGCACTTCTTAGAACACACAGACTAGAACCAGTATAGAAATGTTCAGTTCTATTCAGTGTCCTCAGCTAACGGTAAGGGTTTTTTTTTGTAATGTCAAGTGACGGGACGAACAAGTCCTGTGCCTGGTAGTAAGTTACACGTCTGTCCATAACAGTTGCAGTGCCACTCAAAATTATGCCCGTCACCCTGAGACGTAAGTTGACAAGTCATAATTTCACCAGCACCATTTAAAAGCGAAAAACAGTAATGCTGGCATTACTGTTTTAATATACGCAGAAATAGGCAAGGTGGCAGTACTTCCCTGGACGAACTCTTTTACAAGGAGGTCTACTGCTACTAACGCTCAAAACGGTTCAAAACGTTCTCCCACTGGCCAAATTAATGGTTCGAATTAGTGAATATCGTTTTTATTTTAATAATTCACAGGGCCGATTTTGCCATGTTTCTGTTTGCAATACCTTTTTTATTTTTTACTGTGTGTGTTGTATATTTATTATTAGTATTCCTCCTGGAGTTATTGATACCTTTATCAGCAATAACTGACTACTTTTATGTATCTCGCTCTACCATCGTTATCATAACAAGAAAGAAAGAGAGATACAATTTTGCAAATAAGCCTCAAGCGACTTCAAGCCTGGAGTTGTGACAAGAAGACCGGACGTATTTTTAAGTGAATTGAATAAAATCATGACAAAGGATAAATATGGTGTATTGGTGAAAAATGCTGATAAAGGCAGTAAGTAGTTTATTTAGTGTAATTTATAATTAATGTAAGCCTTGTCGTATTCTTTGAGACCGAAAACTATAGTAGCTAACGCTAAAGAATAAACCATCTACAAGTCAAAAGTTGCCAGCACTTTGAACGTTATTACTTCAGTATTTTCAGTATTTATTTATTAGCAGTCATATAAAGTACGTATTAAAATTTACAATACATGTTTACAAAGTAATAAATAAAAAAAATGTAAATTAATAATTACACAACATTTTTTTTAAATAATAAAAATTTGAATAAAAAGCTCTCAATAAAACAATGAGCTTATGTACTAATTATTATTACTAACGACGAATGAATTTAGGGATATTATATCTCAATATCGCTTAAAAATTATTCTATTAATAGCACTTTTGTATGTGGGACCTCAATTTATTAGAGAAGACATTTTAATTTTTCTCAAGTGCAATCATGGTTATTTATAAAATGCTAACAACCTCGCAAGACTATTTTGACTACTTCCGTGGTGTGGTCGAGTGGTTCATGGTGTCACCATATATGAGGTTCCAGGTTAACTTTTCTATCGAACGAGCGGTAGAGTTTAACCATTGCGACGAATTCAAGTGTAATAATGCTTACCTATGAAATAAAGATTATTTTGAATTTGAATTTTAATTTGACTGTATTATCTTGGGTCTAGGTGTTTGTGGTACCGTCGTTGTTCCCGATTTCCATAACACAAGTGCTTTTTTAAAAAGTTTTTATTGAATATTGGACGACCATGATATTCAGCTATTTTTGTTAAATTACTCAACTTTTTTGTTAGAATTATTAATACAAAGATCAATCAGAAAATTGTGTAAGCCAAAACTAGAGGTGTCGCTTTAATAATGGTAATATTTGAAATTTAAATATTACAATTCGGTGCACCAGCCGAATATAGCGGTAAAGTGATGTATTTTTTTACATTTTTGGATTTATTGAATCCCTCTGCATCGCTCAGCATTTTTCTATAAAATCGGAGTTATATTCGCAAAATTATTAAAGAAAACAAGTTTTTTTACGTAAATTATATGTGAAAGAATTGAGCAGAAGATGGCTGTTATACTCGGCTGCGTTAGCGAATATCCATATTTTACATATAGAGTCGTATTCTAGAACTCTACTCAATGCTCAATTCATGATTTGAGTATGGTTTAAAGCACTCGAAATCATACTCAAGTCCCTGCCATTAGGGTCGTATTTTCAGTGCTTATGTTGCCAGTGTAATCCTGACTTGAGCATTGAATAGTGTTCCAGAATACGACCCATAGAGTTTTACAGGTATATTCACCGAAAATAACTAGTTACCATTAAAAGTAAGCGTTGATACATTTTGACTGTATTTATCAATATTACGCATTACTTTGTTACTACAACAGGAGTAAATAAAATAAATAGTAATATTATTGTACAACTTTTTTTTAATGCATACACTCAACATAGCCTCGCTCTAGAAACCCTGTGTCACGGGTGCCGTAGACACACTCAGACAACCACAACTTACACAAACTCACGGGAGAAATGAATGTAGGCCATACAAATATTTCTTCCCATCTCTACGTGGCAGTCCGGCATCGTGGTAACCGTTCGGCCACAGAAGCAGTTGATATTGCGTAGCTAAGCTGTTAATGTGAGGGCTGGTAATATATTTTGGGGTTGATTAAAAATATAAACGTTTCCTTGCAAAGCGAAGAACTTCTCCCTAAAAACTCTGTTAATCATACTACATACGCTAGGAGAGTAGAGTAGGAACTTTTATCGTCACTTTGTTTTATTCACAATATTTTAAATTATGTAAGATTATCAATGAAACTTAAAAAATTTGCTGGAAAACGTTGGTTCGCATCCAGCCGGATCGAAGAATTTTTCTTACACCCTGTATATCAGTAAATATTTTTTAGATAGCGGAATTTCACGCTTGGCTACTACAAGTCCGCCATTGAAGCCACCACCACCAAAGGTAATTTTTATAAATAACGTAATTGTGTTATATAAAAATGATAATTAATTAATTAATTAAATAAATTTTATAACAATTTCACAATGGACGGATTATTTATAATGATTCACAATATTTTTATGCGAATTTGAAACAATACACAATAGTGTCATATGGTAAAATAATCACCCGAATTAGATCTGAGGATATGAGGGGCTCTGCCGTTGCGCCCGTCATCCTGAGACATAAGTTGATAAGTCCCATGTGCCTGTAATTTCACCAGCACCCTTACCCTTCAAGATTTGAACGCAGTAATGCTCATATTACTGCTTGGCGGCAGAAATAGGTAAGGTGGCAGTACTTGCACGGCGATAAGACCGCGCAGCGCTGTTTTTCAGCCTGTCCCTAATCCCTATGGTCTTGAGCGGGATACATGTCAACGAGGGCATATAGCATAATATATTAAAAGACATACATAACACAAAGAAACAATAACAATATTGATATGACATTGATGGACATTATGTGGAGGAAAAAAAAACAATAAAATAATAATAATTATAATGATGAAACTAAAAAAAAATGGTAAAGAAATATTAACATAAACAGTTCATGGAAATCCTGGGTGTATGTGTGTGTGTGTGTGCATGAGTGATCGTTATTGTGGTGAATAGGATTAGCAGTCATGTCAAAAAAAATCTACTTTTTTTTATAATCAAGCTTGTACATACAGTTCTTTATTACCATGAGTACGATGACTGGAGTTGAAATAGGACCAAAGTTTCAAGGGCGTCAAGATGAAATACATGATTTTTCTTTCTTTAAGGAACCCACCTATAAACCAAAAGGGCCATCACATATTCCTGTTCCTGCAGAAGTGAGTCTATATCTTGTGGCACAATTCTATTTTCATAACCAAATCTATAGTCATAAATGAATTCGTGTAATTGAAAATGAAACTATTTTTTATATCTCTTTTTCTTAATCTCTACCTCACTGCTGAGGATCGTGACTGCATCCTAGCAACCATTTTGCCTCCATCGGCTGCGCTCTAGTGTGCGATGTAGTGCGGCGCTGACAGGTATCTCCAGTTGCTCAGAGACCTGATCCGACCACCTTTTGGGACTCCTGCCCCTAGGTCTCTTTCCCTCCTTGTCCTGACCCTTCCTGTCACCATCAAACGTTCCAAGTTATCAGCATCTCTACGTGTCACGTGACCAAAATAGCGTATCACACGTTGCATGCAAATTTAAGACAGACGCTTTCTTTTTGTTTTTTTTTGGATCTAAGCCGCGTATATTTTTGTTTTTTTCAAACAAGCATCATTACAGGTTCCATTGTTATACTGACTGGTTTAAGTAATGTAAGATTTAAGTAAGTTGATTTACTTGCGAAAAAATAGTTTTGTTTTCAATGTGTAACAATCGCAAACACCTAAGAACTCGAGTAAGCAAAATGAAATAAGTCAGAAACATAAGTTTATATATTTACTAATAAAACATAACACAATTGTATATTATTACGGTTATTCTCGGACTTCTATTCACTACGTAATTTTCGTGGCAAACATTTATTATTTAAGCACCTATTCGATTTTTTTATCGTGCAATATTATTATATATTCGAGTACAGTATCGTGAAATATAATATAATAATTATAATAATAAAATTTGCCACGGAAATCAGATAGTTAACACTGGTCCGAGGAAGACCGATTAAACTCTTAATTTTAATTACACTTTTGTTTTCGAATATCGCTTCCAGTGCAACGGAACAAGATCCGTATATGGGTAGATTGATGTGCTGCCTTTTTACTTGCACAGTGTTGCCTGCTTATGTCCTTTGTTCTCACTGCCGTGGAAGAGATACTTTTAGAGATAAGTCCACCTTTGCTCACATTTTCTATAATAAATATTTCTGATGTAAATACTCCTGCCCTTCTTTTACACCCTCCACAAAAGGTTTTCATTCGCCTGAAAGGAGAACCTTGGATCTTGAAAATTAATGGCTAACAGCTGCATCAAAGAATTGCATTAGATTAAAACATGGGTATCTAGCACACAGTACCTATAGCTACTAGCTCTTTAGTAGCTGTAGACCTCCTCGTGAAAAAGTTCGCCCAGGGAAGTACTGACACATTACCATTTGTGCCGCCAAGCTGTAATGTGAGCATTGCTGTGTTCGGGTCTTGAAGGGTGCTAGTGAAATTACAAGCACATGAGACTGGTCAACTTACGTCTCAGGGTGACGGGCGTCCCGGGCGGCGTCGTGGTGAATGTTCACTGATCCCACGGCGCCGACTCAACCGGCGAGAGGGAAACCCGGGGGGGTTTTAGTGGGGTAGGCCCTCCAGTCTGGAGGGAGAGTCCCCACATAACCCCTAAGTCTCCCTGGGCTCAGGGGTATCCATAAAGATTTCCCCCCCGTCAAAAAAAAAACTGTGACAGGCATAGAGAATGGCGCTGTAACTGCTTTTTAAAGCTATGAGTAGAACTTTTAAAAGAAATGACAATATCTGGACTGTTAATATAGTTTAAACTCTACCCTTTACTAAATTTATCGTTGTAAGTTCTATACCATCAATACTTATTATTGTAAATTATGACGTTTTGATTTTACATTGAAATTTCAATCAATGTGCTGCCATCCCGCGGTTAATAGCTGAACGACGACGAATTCAAGATGTGTAATTAGGTTTTCTTTTTATAACTACAGGTACATGGGACTTGTCAATTTATGTCTCAGGATGGCGGGTGCAGTAACTGTGACCCTGAGAACTTTAAAGCTCTAAGTTGCACTGCAAGTGTTATGGACCAGGCGCACAATTTGTTCGTCCCATCGATCTTGTTCCGTTTCTCTTGCGGCGATATTCAAACAAACGTGTATAGCTTAATATGCCGTTGACTGTACATGATTTTTTTTAAAGGAACCCATCATTCAGCCAAAACACGTTAATCATTCGGCTGCTGTTGTTTATAAATGGCCTTCATATATTTCAGAGTCTGATCTTACAGAGGTGAGTCTATTTAAATTATTTTACTCGAGCGGCCTGTGTTAAGTACGCAAAGCGAGCTCATAACACGTTCCGTGTACGAATACAACAAGGCTTGATTTACATTATTGCGTAAAGGAACGGAAGCACGTTTTAATCATCAATGCATCCCGCAGGTACCTAAATGTATTGAATAGTAATAATAATTTATTTATTTACACGAATACAAAATGCATGAACACAACTTACACGCACGAAAAGACTATGGGGTGAGGGAAGAGGTCACTTTAGTATAGGACGCGCGTGAGTATAGACGTTTCTTGCGAAAATGTTCGATACGGAGATTAAAATATGAATAATTGAACAACTTACTTGATTGTTATTATTAGTCTTTCCTCCGGACTGATGTCTCGTCTCATATTTGTATCTGACTTAGTAATAAGAGAGAATTTTGAAAAACATTTATTGGTAGTACTTAACAAATTGAACTGGATGTTCACATAAACTTGTATATAATATATGAAACTGCCCATAAATTAATCGTTTCATATTGAGTGGATGTACCCAGCTTCTTTTTCTAACATCGTCTTCTATAAATGCATACTATTTTTAATGAATCCATTACACTATTACGACGCAAATACCCCGTATAAATACTTAAAAACAACTGAATAAAATACGTTCGTCTGGCGCTCCAATCGAATTTCGGTCGAGCGCAAACTGCGCAACTCAAAAAACGCAACTCACAAAATTACGCTCGTCTGGCCTCAACCTAATTGTGAATCAGGGCAGGCAACGTACGACACTGTCTCTCAAATTAGGCGAACCTGTATCTCAAGAGACTTAAGAAGATTCGATTCATTTATTGAGATTTTTTGTAAAATAACTCCACTAGTTTTCTTATGATTAAAAACACAAAGATCAAACACGCAAAAAATTTTTTTCGTCGACCCTGTGGGACTCGAACCCCATGTCCATGCTGCACCGTAGCATTTACCAACCTCACCAAATGAGCCACGGGTTCAGTTAACGAGTCGTCGAAATTCTCCTATGTGTTTTTGTTAGAGATCTTTGTACTGACTTTTCGGCATTCGTCGCCTCTAGTGACATTTAGAGAGAGATTTTTGAATAACCTCACAGCAGCCTATACCTTTACAAGTATTACAACTAACGCAGATGTCGCTTTTTGATCAAATGTTATAGTCAGGCGTCTTTCAAACCCGAAACGCAGTAATGCTTACGTTCCTTCTTAACGGTGCAGGAATAGGAGTATTTCCCTGGACGAACTCTTTCTCAAGGACGTAATATCTAATCTATATTGGAGATAGTGGGGATTTCTTAAACGATAACCCATACTTTTTGCATGTTTGAACATTTATTTCAGCTGCTTTTTTTCCGCTAACCTAATCTAAACACAACTCGTGGACAAGAATCTTGTGGAATGTAACTTACGATAATATAATATGTTATAAACAAGCAAGCAAGAGTACATAGTGGGCAAAACACACACTTGCAATATTTGTGCGAGATTGTTGATTTTATTTTCCGTAGAATAAACATTGGTGTATCGAATAATTACAAAATTAATTGGAAAATAAATCTGAAAAAGTTTTGAAGTGTATTTTGAGCGGGATGCTAAAAAAAATGGTAAAAGCTTTGACACCTTTATTAGTGGGGACGTCGATAAATGAATTTTCATATTCTTAGAAAAAACATGATGTTAAGCACTTTATTTATAATTATATACACAAATATAATTGTAGTTTGTAGACTTACTTATATGTACTGTGTTGTCTTGGTGAATAAATATTTCGACTTTGTTTGCAGATCGACTTGCAAGAATCTGAAATAACAAGAGGTCAGAAAGAGAAGGAAAACAATGAAAATACCAGTGTTAATCTAAAAACTAAGGTTAAAACGTGGCTGTGTTGTTCTGTTAATGATACTAAATGATCTATATTGGTCTAGTACATAGCTGAGTAAATGTACTTTTTTAATGAAAAAATCAGGGTTCAAAATTATCATTGATAACAAACACTGTAATAAATTTTCTAAAAGATTTGTTTCTGGTTTGACGGTATTAAGTTTCTATATTCTACAACAAGTATAAAGAAAGAAAAATGAACTGCCTTCAGATTCTGCTTACTGTAATAATAACTCTTTATTGCACAAAGAAAAGATACATGAAACACAAGTTATAAAGGACATATACAAAGGTGAGCTTATCTCTAGAAGAGATCTCTTCCAGCCAACCCTAGCCTAGGTGAAAAATGAAGTCTGCGGGACTAATTATTACAACATACAACACATGTACATACAAACTGAAACTTAAAAGTTAACGATCGGTTACCGGAAAGTTACCGAAACTGGATTCATCCCCTGGTTTGTTACCCTTATAGATGGAATAATTTCTTCAAATTTAAATAGGATCAATACTGAGGTAACTCTCTTTCCAATAAAAAAATTATCATCAAAATCGGTCCACAAATACGTAACATACACACAACAAAATACCGTTGAATTCGTGTGTAACCACTCTTAAGTCGGTTAAAAATGGCGCGAAAGCGAGAAATACATAATATAAAGCCAGCTCACCAGACTACACAATGTTTTGTTCTTTTTTTAATTTTTTAGTCATTAATATTATCTAGTTCTTTTTTTATTTTTTTTTAATCATTAAACATTTCGTAACTACCATAAACTTGTGTTTTATTTTTAAAACAATAATGAATTTACATTTATTTATCTTTATATGAACTCGCAAATTTACACATTTGTAGATTCTTTGTCTTTAATTTACAGAATCTTGTTTGAAATGTACTATTGATTGGAAAAATGTTCCCCTTTTGTCTTTAAATAGAGAGAAACCCGAAAAATTATGTTTCTTTTATAGTATGTGAATTTCAACTTTTGGGTAAAGCGGCAGACAAACAAACCAAATTTGTGTTGCAAAAACGAGCGATTCATTCTGTATACTGTTTAGGTTATCGGATTTCTCTCGCAGAAAAGTTTAAGGAGACGGGTATCATGACTGTGGCGTCACAGTACATTTACTCAAATATTTTATATGCCCGTAAAAATATACATAATTTCAATAAGAAAGAATATATCCATAACATTAACTTAGAGGTAAGTCCAAACTCATGGTACCACGATTTCGTTTAACCAAGGTAAACAACTCTTTTATAGGGAACTGTATACGTTTTTACAATAAGATTCCGGAGTATAGGTATATTAAGATTATCATTTCCTCAGTTTAAAAACTACATTAAAAATATTTTAATTGAAGAGTCATGTACAAAATTGAAGACTACCTGTTAGCTATAGATGTATGAAAAGACGACAAGGCTCTAGATTCCATACAAATTTGATTTAAAGTGTATTACGTGAGGCGCACTATAAGTTTCCGGAATTAATAAGGAAAAAATACTATAAATGGTCAGAATTATTTTTTTTTCATTTATTTTCCAACACAAAATTGGACTTTCATCGTTCCTAAGTCTAACTCACCTACTGCAATCCCAAATGAATTTGTTTGTTGTGAATTCTCAAAATATTCTCCGTTAGCGTTAATACACTTTTTCATTCGAATTAACCAATTTTGAAAACATTTATTCCACTCCTCCGTGACAATCTCTGAAATATATTTTTCATACTCTTAGACTTGTCTTCTGGTGATGAAAATCGTTAACCACGTAACTGGTTCTTAATTTTTGGAAATAAATAAAAGCAACAAGGTGCCAAAGGGTCGGGACTGTACGCGGGATGGCTCATAAGGTCAACGTTGTTCACCTTCAAAAATTCATTTGTCTGGCCGTGTGAGAACTGGCATCATCGTGGTGCAAGATGATACGGCGTTTACGATTATTTTTACGGAGTTTGTCAATAACTTCCGGCAACCAAATGGTCCTGTGCCGATCACTATTCGCGGTATAACTATTCTCCAAAGCAACAGTAGCCACGTGTCCAGTTTTATTAAAATAAGAAGCAATCGGCCGCTTTGAGGCACTTTGCACGCGCGCCACTTTGGTTGGTTTCAGCTCATGTCGAAAGACCCATACGCTCGATTGCTGCTTCGTTTTGGGATCGTAACTATAAATCCATGTTTCGTCACCTGTTACTATATCCCACACCAAATTTGACGCCCCTTCTTTGAATTTGGTAAGCATGGCATTGCACCAAGTGACGCGATCCGTTTTTTGAGCCTCAGTCAAATTGTGTGGGATCCACCGACAGCACAGCTTTTTCACACCCAACTGTTTGTGTAGTATTGATTGTATTTGACTCATGCCTATGCCTAAAGATGCCCGAATCTCATGGTATGTCACATGCCTGTCTGTTTTGATCGTACGGCGCACAGCATCGATGTTTTTGTTGTTCACAGCAGTGGACGGTCGACCATCACGAAATTCGTCACTGAGATTCACACGACCGCGTTTGAATTCCACGAACCAGCTGTACATAGTTGTCTTGCATGGTGCTTCATCGCCAAAAGGAGTTTGAAGTCGAGCGAAGCTCCGCTGAGCTGTTACATTGCAATTAAAGTCATAGAAAATCATACTGCGACAGCTTTCACGAGTTAAATACATGGTGATGTAGACAACCAATTTGTAAAATGACGCCACAATATAAAAACAAGTGACAGTCAGATGATACAAATTGTATTCTACAGCCAAAGAGTTCCATTACTTTTTAAATATTGTTTATGTAAGTGGCCAGTTCCGGAAATTTATAGTGCGCCCTATGTATTCCATAGCATTTAAGTTTATTTGAAAAGAGCAATCCCTAGAGTTTCTTACTCGTTCTTCTCGGGGAAGTCGGCATAGTGAACGAGCAGTAGCATAAAAGTGACGTTTTCAATTGTAGATAAATATATTTTACGCATGGAATAAATGATTCTTTAATTTTGACTTTGACTAGCCAGCAATGTGGTGCCATCCATGTGTCGTGCATTCGGATTCATACGCATTCCAAGTATCCTCTTACTGAAAAGTTGTCGTTTGCAGATGTGGTTTTGTTACACCAAAGATGCGAAGTATATCTCGTGCCCAAAGCCACAAGATGCGTATTTTTATTGCCTTTGTCAAATAATCTTCACTCAGTGCTTAGTTCCAAAATAACTCGGAAACCAAACTCAATTACTTAAAGAAACGTATAATAGGCCAATTTTTTCACCCTTTCACAGTTTCTAATACAAATTGAGTGTTAAATTGCGTGGCTACGTGACATTTTAATATTAGGGGGTGAAGCCACCCCTTTGACAAATTTGAGAGGAAGAAGAAAAATAAATTCGCAAAGTAATGTAGGTATGATATTGCTAAATTTATTTTGTCAGGCGCTATCGTTCAAGGAATGTAATTTTATTTTTTAACACGGAATACGTGATATCTACTTTGATACATTCAACCAAATATTAATTTATACAAATTACAAATTTCAACTCTATGGACATTGTCACATAAAGTGCCATTTTCAACAAAGAAATTAGAAAATTTCTTTAACTATGCTTTTTATGTTTCATCAAATAATTATAATCTTTATTTCATAGGTAAACAAGTCACAATTGATATCAAAATTTGACATTGATAAAAAAAACATGTTTGTAAAAAAATTCGGATTCATCTCCTAGTCAAGGGTGGCACCCATGGAATATGTTCTTCAAATTTAAATGATACCAATGCTTGAGGTACCCTCTTTTCAACAAAAAAATAATCATCGAAATCGGGTTCCAAATGAGTATGAATGAATAAAATACACACAAATAAAATACATTCGAATTGAGAATCTCTTCCTTTTTTGAATTTGGTTAAAACATTTGTACACACTTACTACAAACTTCTATCTATAAATATAAACTTCAAACATCTCGCAAAACCGTTTCACCCCACTATATTATTGTATACTTTTACACACTTCCCGGAACGGACACTTTCACAAGGAGCTCTATTGCTACTAAGCTATGGTAAGTATGATAAAACAGATAACGGAATAATTGGAATAATAATAAATTCGAAATAAAAGAAAAGAAATTGTTAATTTTCAAGTAAAAAAATGTTGAGGATAAAATATTCAATACTGTCTTTAAAATAATAAAGCGTATTATGAAAGTTAAGCTTTCCAATTCTACTCGTTGTAACATTTTTTTAAACTAAGCTCGAGAGATTAAATTTTCGCGCCCCTATCCGAAAAAACTGTTAAATAATTCATTGTGAATAATTGAAACCAATCCTGACTTTCGATTTCACTTTTAAAATATTTAAATGGCGGATATAGACTGCGGACAGATTAGACTTTGAAAAGCCCTTTTCCACTATTGCCCTTGTTTTTGTTATCGTCATTAAAGATGCTTTTTTGTTCGAGTTTTGAGGTTCTCGCGATTGTTATACATAGGAAATGAAACAATTTTTCGAATCTATATCGGGTATATTTGTTTTCTGACTGAGATAGTAAAGTCATTAACCAGTTATGAATAATATTAAGTGTCATAACAGTGAAAGTGGAAAAAATATATAGTGAAATTGACACTATATGGTGTGAAAACACCATTCCCAAAAATTTTTACGATAGAAAAAAACACAAAGTTATATCGAAATTTTACGTAAAAACCGCTGTATTCAATATGTACTTTGTTACACCAATTTTTTTTTATATCAACTGAACTAAATAGAGCATGTATAGTATACGATATACGTTTTTGAAATGACTTCAATTTTGTTTTTAAAAAAAAAACAAATTCTGATATAAAGCCAGTGTCCCTGTCGATGGACACAAGCAAAATAAACCGTATTAGTAGGGGAAAAAATTGATTTCGAGCTGCGGTAGTACTAACTCTTAATGCAAACCACTTTTTTTTGTACAAAAGTTATTAAAAAAATCCCTGGTTTTTTCAAAGATACATTCCAATTTACGTTACATACTAATTGTTTTGCAAATTAATTTTATTTTAATTAATAATTTTATAATTATTAATACAAAGATCGAACACTCAGAAAAAACACTCAGAAAAAATTCCTTCGATCCGATCGGATTCGAACCGACGTTTTCTTGCATACCGTGCCAGACGCTATACCAACTAAGCCACGGAACGAACCAACGGACCTCACGAATTTTTCTATGTGCTTGCGTCGTGTCTTTGTACTTGGTCTTTCAACGACTTTTTAGTAGTAGTGCCATCTATGAGAAATCGAT